CATGCCTCTGCTGGCTCCTTCCGCCCCCGCTCCCCGCTCAGGGATTTCAGGGCCTTTTCAAAAGAGGTGGCCCCCAAACAGAGTTCCACGGCTTTGGTGGCCTTGGGTAAACCGAGTCATCCCTAGCCCAGTAGAGGCATTGTGGGGATGATGAGATTACAGCTGCCCGCCCCCCCCAGCAGGTCCAAGTCAATTTGCAGCCCCAGAGGAGCAGAAAATCCTGCTGCCCACACAGGGGTCTTGATGCGAAGGGAGAGGAGCCGGGACACTGCTGGGGCAGCCATCCCCCCGGCAGGGCGGGGGAAGGGGCCGCACTGGGCCGACCGGTGGGGGTGTGGGCAGGGGTGCTGGGACCACGAGGCCTCCTGGAACAGTGGGTCAGAAAGGGGGCAGATGGCGAGCTGGAAAGCGGGGCTTGGCGGAGCCGTGAAACAAAGGGGGCCTGGTGGGGGGGGCGCCAATCCTATCTCCTCGGCCCTTGGCTCCTGTGTTTGCTCAGCCAACTTTGCAGACGAGACGCTGTGTGTAAAGAGACCCAAGATAACCCCCTGGGTCACTGACTTCTGAGCGCCCCTCCTGTGGCCGCCTCCCTCACCTCATCTCTCTGCCCACCCAGCCCCCACTCCCCTGCTCCCAGAACCTTGTCAGCCTGCCTGTGGAATGTGGCACTGCCCTGGGGGTTCCGCCACTTAGAGGAGGGGAGCAGGCGGATCTGCGTGGCGACCCTGGGCTCCCACGGCTGCCTTCACCCCTCTGCCCCCTACCTGTCCCCGCCCTTCCCTGCCCCAGTAGGACTGTTTAGGGGCTGAGAGCCCAGGAGACTGGAGCTCCTGTCTCTTTGTCTGTCTGCCGTGTGCCCCCACGTACCCCAGGCGTGAGGGCTGGGCACACAGGAGGCCAGTGCCTCTCAGGCTTAAGCAGGGCAGAGATTCAAAGTGAGCTGATTGTGAAAGCCCCCCTGAGGACACCGGACCCACCGGGCAGGCAGAGGGGCCCGGAGTGTGGCAGACCCCACCCAAGTCCTGGTCCTCGGTTCGCTCTCTGTGGGGCTCAAAGTGGGGT